GCTTTTTCACTGTCTTCCAGGTTCTCATATTAACTAATATCATGCTGGGTATTTATCTCTTTGGATCCTAATTATTTTCTGTTATCCTCAACATGGAATGGAATTCAATTAAATGATCATTTTGGAACGCAGAAAGACAATTACATTTGAAGTAATTATTTTGGATCATGTTGGAGACACCAGCCATCCTTAAAACAAAAAAAAAAAAAATATGAACACTGTTGGAGGAAGTCTTTGACATATATGAAACTATGCTCTTCATTCAATATATTGCCCCATTTCCGTAAGTTATAAAGTTGTACATGTTGTAGTGTATGTGACACAAATTGGTCGCAGATTTTTACTAGTCCCAGTGTTCTTATTCCCAGAACGTGCTCTGTGAGAGCCGATTAGTTAAGAATGTTCCATCTTCTTCCCTTCCCCAAAAAACAAGTCTAATCTTCCTTGGAGAAGTAAAGCGTGCAAAAAAAATGTTTTACCTATTTTTGTGTATTTATGTAGTTTTAATAAAATACACGTTTTTCTTTAATATATATATTCTAATGAAGACTAATGTCACTGGTGCTGGGTAAGTGCTCAAGCCAGGACTTCATTAATCCTTGCTTGGTAAAATTAACCTAAGTAGTGTTATATTAAGTGCTGGTGCACTGTGTGCAGTTGTTTTTTGAACGCTTCTGCTTTTTTAGCGGCTGTTTAACGGTGTTCATTATCTCTCAGGCCTTCAGCTGTGGTTTTAATACAGTACTTCATCTTACATTTGGATATGCTTGGTTTTGCATCAAGCTATGCATAATAAGGTTTTAATTGCTTTAGAATAATTTTATACAAGTTCTGCTTCTTTATTTTTGTTTCAGCAGAACTGCAAGACACGATTACAGTCTGAAATGCACAATTCTGTATTCTGTGGCAGCGTTTTGTACATTCATGGAGCATGCAGCTCCTTGGACTGTCCCGAGTTTTGTTCCTCTGTCATTTTTTCTGAACTTCTGCTGTCTTTCTGGAGTTACCTTTTCCTGCTTCCATTAATTTGGTATGGGCAACAAGATTCTAACTTGCTTGATGTAGGTAGTCAGTGAAAGTTTTAATTTTAGTTTAAGAACAAGTTGCTACTGTTGAGAAAAAGTTGAAACTTTCCCTGATAATTACAATTTTTCAGGGCAGTGAGAAACCTGTGAAAAAGTGTCAAGCCGATAATCTTTGACTTACTATTTTTTTTCTTCTTTGTTTACAGTTGTTTGTTAGTGTTTCTTTATTTTTAAAATGGTTATGTGTCTTATATGCCATGATTGACATGGCAGTAAACTTTCTATGTAAATTGAAGTCTAGAACTGAAGATTGGAAATGGCAGTTACCCTGCATTTAAGATTGATAGCAGACTTCACTATATGTCAATTCCTTTTTTTTTTTTTTTTTTTAACCTGAAAAAAGTTGAGTTCTGCCTCTGAGAGCAGACTGGTTTTTGAAGAAACTTAAGAACAGAGGGGAAGATAAAAAGGCATCATCCACTAATGAAAGGGTTGGGGGGAGGGTGTTGGTTGTTCTCAGTCAAGGGTGTTGGTGCGGGGGTATGTGTAAGAAGTTCAGTACCTGACCTAATAAAGTTTCTCTCCATGACTGTAGAAAAAGCTCAGTTGACCTAACATAATCATGAGCTTTTGGAAAATGTAAATGGCTTTCATAGGTTTGTTGCAGGCTTACCCAGGCTACTAATCCGCAAAGGCAGGATGAGTTATTTCTCCAATGGATTTTCTTTATTTGACCTTCTTAGTAATATCTTTTGAGCCAGTAAAATACAAATTCCTTAAAGCTAATGGATCTTCTTTAATCTCATTTATTCTGGTAGCTACAGGAAATTGGGTGTTTCTTGATTCGTGGGAGAGAGACTTTTGTAATGATCTAAAAAAAACAAATTCCCAGTTATAGCATGTAAATGTAGTGTATCTGTTTATTTTTTGCACATCAGTGATACCATAAAGCACTTACATTTTATTGCCTGCATTTTTCTGTCAAGTAACAAGGTCACTTGGGAACTGCTGCATCTGTGACTAGATATGTGTGTGCTTTCTTTAAAAGAAGCATTGAGGTCTTCCTTTCTTAAAATAATGCCTATTCATTATAATTTCTGAAAAGTTGACTGTATAAACTGAGCCTGATGGACTGCGTAAGTTCATGTCATTCAGGGCTTGATATTCAGGAAAATTGCTCCTGCTGGTAGCCTGCATGTTCTTTGTTTTTCATACTTCCACAAGCAAGAGAGTAACGTGTCTTGAGAAGCTCTAAATTCTTTTTGCACTTTAATATTCCTTATTTGTCAGAAGAAGGTAGGGGTTTTTTTTACTGTTAGTGACCATTCTACAGATTGAAAAAACTTTGCTTACTGTAATCTTAAAAACCTATGTTAGTGAATTAAATGAATCATTAAACTTGTAATGTAGGTTATGTTTAAACTACTATAAGACTGGACTACTACTGCAGAGAGCTGTCTCCATTGCTATAGTTGCATGTGTCTGTTGTTTCCCTTGTTTCTTAACATCAGCAATCAGGCAATGCCCAGCCATGGTTTTGCATGGGCTTTGCTCAGTGCATGGCTGAAAACTAGCTCATTACATGACCACGTATTTTTTGGTACTGACATGATGATGATGAGAAGAAACCCCTTGCAAGGGACTGAGAGCGCCAAAATGTCCATTTCAGCGGCAGCACAATCATAAACTGATTGAAACAATCAAAATGTGAAGCTACTCCCTAATTTTTTTTGTCCTGGATATACATACAGAACCAGTGTATGCAGAGATACATAGCCAAGTCATATTTGGCATACATATGGTTAAACATTTTATATATATACACTCTTACAAGAATAAACAGATATTTCCTTTCACTTTCTCAGTCCATTGGGAACCTGAACTGTGTTCTGGTAGCAATATTTACTTGATCTGTCTTTCAATTTAAAATTTAATCTGTGATCTAATTTCTTTCTGCTGATAGCTGATTTATGTTACCTAGATGCCTGAATGATGACATGAGTAATGTCTCTCTGGCTTGTGGCAGGATGAAAACAAAACAGTTTCTATACCTTGTCTGACAGGATATCTAAGAATAAAAAATAGTTATTTGCACAGACGTAAGAGATCTCCTTTTTATCTTTGCAGAATGTTTTTTCAGCTTTTCATTTCAGATGCTATGTGAAGTGTACTGCGATAGTTTATAGGGGAATTTAAGCTTTCTCATAAAGCATACTCTGTTTTGACAGGTCTTTCAGCATAGTCTAAGACTGAACTCTCCTACTTAATCTCCAGCTATTTGTACTGACTTGCTGAGAGTGAGAACAAGATTAATCAATAGCATGTAGTTTGGTGGTTGAACACTCAAGCAATGCTACCTTTATCATTTTTTTTCTTGTACAGGAAATCAAAGGCAAATATAGGAGTTACAAAACAGACACTCTTAAATGAATGTTCTACAGTGTCAACTAAATCATATGAAAGGAAATGCTTATCTGTTAATCTTTAAGACCAATGAATAAATTCTCTTTTTTTCTCTTGAAAATCTAAAATTGTGTTGATAATCCAAATGGAAGGTCTCCTGGGGGTGGAGGAGGAAATCCTTTAAATCCCTGTATGGAAATGCCTTTAAATACAACTGGATTGTACAAAGTAACTTGATGATCTCAAGTGCCTTAGTTGTCAGCCTTCTTTGCAGACATATTTATAGCAAACAGACTGGAAGAATTAGAAGTTAGCAAAGGGAGTTCTGCCAAAATTGTCTTACAGTGTAATGCTCTGTGGAGAGGCATGTGAAGCTTATTTGACTATGTCTGAATGAACAAAGATCATTGTGACCTTTAAGACTGTGATAATAGGATGGCTGGGATGGATAGCTCTTTTTTGCATTATGAGAAGCATGTGGGTCATATGCCTTAAGTAGAAACTAATTTATTGTAAGGAAGTAAGTGTGCTCAGAATTAGTGTTAGAATTTTGTTCTCTTTGCAGTTTACAGCTTGCAGTAGCTGATTGCAGGCCAGTACCGTTGTCTTCAGTCAGTTCATTTCTGTTGATACTCTGGAGTATGTGTTGGTGTTGGGTTCTTTCTTTTTCAGTCCTAATTCCTGCCTGCCTCCCCCGCCATGGGAAAGTCTTCAGAACACTGTCTTAAACCTTTGCATTTGTGCCTCTAATCAAACATGGAAGTGGCTGAAAAAGAACTATACTGTTTGTGAATTAGCAAACCCAGAGCAGGATTGGTGGCAGCCCATCAAATCAGTAGCTTGTAACATAAAAAGCCTTCTGTTACATTTTCATTACAATTACGAAATTAAAATACAATGTCCTTGAATGTATGTAAATTTGTGCCAGGGGAAGGATAGTAAAAAACAATAATGTGCGTATTATTGATTGTTGATCCCAGAAAACAGGCATGATGATGTCAGTCTGAATTTACTAAAATGGAAAGACTTTCAGGAAGAACTAGATAGCATCAGGAGGGAATCCCTACCACCCTTTACTTACAGTGTTTGAAAAGTATGTCTTGACTTCCAGTTGTAACGTTGTATTCAAATGAGTCTTGTGTTGACTTGGTAAATCTGCCTGTTTGTAATGTTGTTTGGGTTTGGGGTTTTTTTTCCCTGGTTTGTTTTTTTTTGTTTTTTTCTTTTTTTCTACCCAGCTTCTGCAGCCTGATTGTCTTAGTAGTTGGAAACATGACATACAGAGACTGATTTGATACTCCATTTGGCATTTCCTGTATTAAAATCTTCACCTTTTTTTATGTAACATAAATTTCCTTCCTATCTTTAAAATCTGGACTACAGGAACCTCCTGTTTATAATACTGTATTTTGAAATGCAGTATTTTGTTAATGTTCATGTTCTTTCTTTTTGGTCACATCAAAATACTTGAAGTACAGAATAGTAATGATACAATGTGTGACTATAGAAAGTTGTTAATGAAAATGGTGTGGCTTCCAGTTTGATGCAGTTTATTTTTGTGTTATGCTGTAGGTCTGTCAAATGGTTTTGGAGATGGAAGTAAAGAGAGAGCATTAGATGATACTCCAGGAAGAAAAGTTGAACCTCGTCGCCGCTGTGCATCAGAATCTAGTATTTCATCTAGTAACAGTCTTTTGTGTAACTCAAGGTAAAACTGTAAATCTGAAATAGAAATTTGAGATTGAATATATTAGTTTCTATACTGCTTGTGACCTACATCAGAGGATTGCATAAATTTTAGAAAAAAGAATACATTCCAATTTTCTCAGTTGCGTGTCAAATCTGAGACAACTTTCAGGATTGCTAGTATTCTTTTGTTGAACTCAGGTTATTGCAGATCCGGGCAGTTACACTTTATACTTGATTATGCTTCTCTTGCTCTGTGTAGATACGTATGCATGTTTGTGTGTATAGTATCTTGTTTTAATTACCTTCCTAATCCTGAATGCTAAAAATGGGTGTGTTTATTTTGGTGAGGGAAGGAGAGAAGCAATTTCCAAAGTAGTGTCTTGTACACAGGGAAGGTAAATTCAGTAGCTGTGAAACTGTAGATTATCAGTCTGTGATTTGGATTACTGGCTGGTTACTGCAGTGATGATAGTACCCGTATACCATCTATTGACCTCTTTGTGAAGGCTGCTGTTAAAGGTAGGACTGTCAGAATGGTCACCTCTGCCACCATTGATAAATGTTTCTCCGTCACCAATGGTGCACATCTTCCAAAAGCACACTAATCTCTGGGTAAAAGGTAGCTGTCTCCAGTCCCAGGCTATGAGGATGGGGAATACAGGAATATAGGATAAATCTGTTTTGTTTTTGTTTTGTTTTTTTTTTAAAAAAGAAGGATTTATTCATGTGTTCAGGATTGGTATTAAACTGTTTAAGCAAATGGTTTTAATGCACTCATGTCAAACAGGCCTTCAGAAACAAAAGAGAATTTAATATTGCATCTCTTGTAAATGTGATATATTGAGGATTTGATCTAGAATAATTGCTGTTCAGATTCTTTGAAGTCTTAAAAAAAAAAAAAAAATTCCCATTTTGCATATAGACATTCCACAATTGAAAGACTTGAATTTGTAGTGAAAAATAGAAGAGAAAATAATCATGTCTCCTATGTAGTGGAACTGTTGGAGCAGAAGGAACATGTTTCTCTTTGGCCAGTATCCACTGTACCACTGGAGACAAAACAGCTTCTCTCATTTGTGCATGTATAATCTGTACAGCAGTTGAGGTGCAGTTGCATACTGTTTGTCTTTTGCTGATAACCAGGCAGTTCTGTGCATGAAAATAGTCTAGGGTTTTAGCTTTTATGTAGTTGGTTGTGGGTTTTATGTAAGATTTGTTAGAGCTTGCTGCTCTGATTTTACTGTGTACTGATGAATTTTAAATTCTTTTTTCAAAGTCTTGATTTATAGTGAACAACATTAATTATCAAATAATGGGTTTAATGTTAATGTTTTCATAGTTTCAGCCTACCGAAGTGTGGTAAAGGTAAACCAGCACTTATACGAAGACACACACTGGAAGACCGAAGTGAATTGATATCATGCATTGAAAATGGAAACTATGCCAAAGCAGCAAGAATTGCAGCTGGTAACTATAAATAATTGTATTCTTAGTAATATTGTATAACTCTAATTTTGTCCATTTATTTGACAGATTCTAACATTCCTATTTTCCCTGCTGAAATACACCTAAGTGTTCTGAAAGTGGTGTTAATAGCATTGCAGAAACTACTGGTTTCTGCTTTTGACTCTTTAAAGACTTTGAAGAGAAGAGAATAGCACCTGATTTTGTGATTAAAAAATGGTGCTTAAAGTGATCAAGCTACTGTAGTAGTACAAGCAAAACTTGGACTGAAGTACTATTTAAGGTTCTGTCAATATTTTGTTGGGCTTTTTTTGGTTTAGGGTTTACTCCTCGTATACTGTTCTGCATGACCATGTTGACAAACTGGTAAGACATGGTCTGCTTTGATTCAGGAAAAATTTGAAATTGGAAAGAAGTGGAAGTTTCTAGGAATGTAGAGGATAATAACTTACTGAGTTTTAGGGGAAATAACTGTGTTCTGGTGATACGTTTTCCACCTGTTTCGATATTTGAATTGCATTACAAGATTTAAGTAGGTCATCTCTTCTGTAAGTAGAACTGTGTTGGTGTAATGCAGTGCTCCCAGCTGAAGTTAGGCATCAGCTTCGCAGTGTCTAGCAGGCCTGTCTTTAGTTTCTGACCTTACAACTCTTTGCTCCCTCATCCTGGGTGTTCCTTGTCCAGGACTCTTTCATGGCTTTCTAGTGCTTTTATCTGACTCTTTGTTTGCCTTAGTCTGTTCTTTCCTCCCCAGATGATCAGTTTTGTTTTTCTTTCTTGCAGCTAATCTGTTTTCAGCTACAGCTTCATTACTCTCAGGTTTAGTATCTTTATTATCTGCATGGAAACCTCTTATACAGGACTTAACCTTTTCCATTTGTTTTTCTCTGTCCTGGGTAGTCTTATATTTAACACTTTCCACTTAGAATTCCTGTACCTGTTTTTTCAGAACTCTCCTTGATTTCTCTTAATTCCATCTCTGTTCTGAGATACATTCTACAGCTACCTAAAAGGAGGAGCAAATGACATTTAACAGCACTATTTTATATATTACTATATATTCTGTCTAATTTGAGCTCTTTTGGCTGCCTTCTGTACCCTGTTACCTCAGCAGCTCAAGAAGAGGAAATAAGTAGGAGTGAAGTGAAATCTGCTTACATTCTGTGCATAATTGGAACTTATTATTTACTTTTTATTAGTGAAATCCCAGATTTTACAGAGAAACTAAAATAAAGGGTTATTCATTCTTGGCAAAATGTCTCAAAACAGTTGTGTTTGACAGTATATATGCTTTAGAAACAAACACAGTGCTTACAGTTTTGCTCTCTTTAGGTCCAAGGAATATCTTGTTTCTATTTACAAGATGCTGTCTCAGAACCTATGGTATGGTATGTTGTAATACTGCAGTTATGATGGGATGCAGTTTTGCATTGATTAATGGATGTAATCATTGTAATGCACGCGCACTGAAATATGTTAGTTCAAGTGCAAGCAATGTTACAAGAGCGCTATTGAAATCAGAAAGCCAAGTGTGCAAGTTAGGGCATGCTGTTTTCTGTAATACTGCTGCCATGTTCAGCGTTTTTGACTCGTGAGACTGAGGTATGCTTTAGAACCAGGTCCACTCAGTATACTGGACAAGTTAAGATTATTATGGAAAAATATATTCTATATTGAAATGTGAAGATTATATTGAGATGCAGATAGAGGGCAGTTTTATACTGGATATAAGGAAGAAATTTTTTACGGTGAGGGTGGTGAGGCACTGGAACAGGTTGCCCAGAGAGGTGGTGGAGGCCCCATCCCTGGCAACATTCAAGGTCAGGTTGGATGGGGCTCTGAGCAACCTGATCTGGTTAAAGCTGTCCCTGCTCATTGCAGGGGGTTGGGCCGGATGACCTCTAAAGGTCCCTTCCAACCCAAAGCATCCTATGATTCTGTGATTCTATGATTCTTTATAAATACAGAGGATGAATTAAAGTTTCAAAAGTGACTCAGAATTCTGTCTAACTTTTGGGGCTTGGACTTGTAGGCTTAATATGGTTTTCTTGGTTTTCAAGTATAATTATCTGTATGTAATAGCTTGTTGTCCTTAGTGTGCAAGAGCACTGGAAGCTGAATAGATACATGCTATGAGTGGTTCTCATTAATAGCTGCTGTATACGGAGATGTGCTGAGGTTTGTAGGTCTTGGATTCCTTTATAGGGTCAGGAAGTTGCTGTGCTGAAGTGGCAATGTGTTCTTCTGCCTGTCCTTCCTGAGCCTTGCCCAGTCCTTTGGCCTCGCTATTCCTTGTTCCCTGATCCAAGATTCTTGTCTAGTTCTCCTGTTCCATGCTCTCTTACGCTTTTTGTCCCAGTTTTCAATTCTTTGGCCCCATCTTTGTCCAGTCAGTTGCTCCACCTACTTGTCAGGTGTTTTTTTCCTCAGTAAATCTTAGTGACGTTATTTTTGCTAGCAGTGTCTAGATGATGACTTTCCCTTCAGTCACATCAGACTGTTGAGCAAGTGTGGGCAGGGGGTAGGTTGTAGGGGAACATTTTGCTGCATTTGACTCACATAGCTTTCCCCTCCGCATGGTCTTAATTTCAACAAGTAACATTGACAGCAGAGAGAACACTTTGTCCAGCCAAAAGTTACACAGTAAAAAGAAAGTCTCAATTTATCATTTGTGCTAAAGAATGATCTGTCTACGCTGCTGATACCACAGCTACCTCTTGGGGGGCAGTAGTTTTGGAGCTTAAATATGCTCAGTGTCAGTGGATTTGTCTGCAGATTTAAGTGTTAAAATAAGTTTCCTCTATGTAATTTGAAAATTTAAAAAAAAAAAAGAAAATAACACTGTGCACTGTTAATCTGGTCATCTTTCAGTAAAGTAGACTTTCCTGTTTGTGGCCGAAGTTTCTGATTTAAAATAAAATTGGCCTATGAAGAGCTCGCATCCCTGCTGAAAGCTATACAGATACTGGGTGTGAAGTTCTTGGCTCTGTTTTTGAAGACAGAAATGCCTTAAAGTTTTGAGGCTCGTGATGATGGCGCCTAATGGGTGTTTTGCTCAACTTCCCACAAAAAATTAAACACATTGACTTTATTATGAGAAGGATACTGAAAAAACCACTAGTTGTTTTAAAAATATTGTAAGAAATAAAGTCTGTAAGGGGAGGAAGGGTATAATGAGACATCCTTATCTTTACCCTGAACTATGTAGGATCTTAAGTCTGGTTTGTGGTAATTCGTTACTTTCGGTTTTCAGCTAGTGGGAGTACTGTTATTTAAGCAGCATGTTGTCCTGACTGCTAACTTAAATTCATTGTCTTCCATAGCTTAAAGAAATAAAAGGTATTTTATGTTGTAAAAGAAAACTACTAGCCATATGTGCTAGTGTATTAAACCCCTATCACCACATGGAATAAATTCTGACTAGGAAAAATTCTGAGACTCTTCCCTGCTGTGTATACACCCGAGAAGTCTCTGAGGGAATTAGCTGCGTGCATCCTGTCAGATTGTATATGACCTTCTATTCAGCATTCAAATATAATTTTCTTTGTTTCATGTCAACTCTGCAGCTGAGAATAATTTAAGTTTCTTTCCTTTCTTGTTAGCTGCCCTGAAGAAGAGGACTTGCACTGTTTTTATGTACCTGTCCTGGTTTCGGCTGGGATAGAGTTAATTTTCTTCCTAGTAGCAGGCACAGTGCTGTGTTTTGGATTTAGTAGGAGAATAATGTTGATAACACACTGATGGTTTAGTTGTTGCTAAGTACTGCTTATGCTAGTCAAGGACTTTTCAGCTTCCCATGCTCTGCCAGGGGCACAAGAAACTGGGAGGGGGCACAGCCAGGCCAGCTGACCCAAACTGCCCAAAGTGGTATTCCATACCATATGACATTATGCTCAGTATGGAAACTGGGGG